GTTTCAACAACGTAAAGCAGTGGTTGAATGAAATTGATCGATATGCTAGTGAAAATGTGAACAAGCTTCTAGTGGGGAACAAGAGTGATCTGACAGCCAACAAGGTTGTTTCATATGAAACAGCCAAGGTAATATTGCCCTTCACATTGTGTGGTTTACTGTACAATAAAAATCGCGAGAGAAACTTTGCTGAAACAACTTTTACATCTCTTAGGCATTCGCTGATGAAATTGGGATACCGTTCATGGAGACAAGTGCCAAGAACGCCTCCAATGTAGAGGATGCTTTCATGGCGATGGCTGCTGCAATCAAGACCAGGTACTTCTGTTACTCCAAACAATTATATGCATGTTCTCCTTCTCTTTGTTGCTGTGATCTTACAGTGGTGTTGTAACTTGCTCACAGGATGGCTAGCCAACCTGCATCAAACACGGCCAGGCCACCAACCGTCCAAATCCGTGGCCAACCTGTTAACCAGAAGTCAGGCTGCTGCTCTTCTTGAGAAGCTAGAACCACAGGCATTCTGTTCGTGATGTTTAATCTCTCGTTCTATCCCTGTGTGGCATGTGAAACTTAGTTCTCTCTATTCTTAACGCTTTTGATATGAAAGAAGCAATTACTGTTTGTTCTCTGTTTTCACCTTCCTTATTTTTCCTCGTCCTTTCTGTTTAAACTTTGATTCTCTGATTGTAATTTGAATTCAGGAAGGTTAAAAAAAACATTTGTACAAATTAGGAAATACTGTTGAATAGCAGCTCCGTTATGTCCTCTTTTGTCTCCCTTGTGTTCCACTCTATTATTTTCTACCATCGCACACTCCATGGGAAGACAACTTATCAGCTTGATTAGATTAGGGTTTTGTCATGAAAGCGACCTGTCTTCCAATAATTGCGTGGGAGATTCCCCAAGCTAGAAGACTCTTTATCTGTGCACTGTAGATGTGGGCATCTGAAGTAATGCCAGCTTAACCCACTTCAATCCTTGCCACTTAAGGATTATTTTTAGGGGTATCTTCACAATTAGGCTATGATTGAGATGGAATCATTGCAGCCCACATAGTTAAGTAACTTCGAGCTTTGCCTTAACGATTTTGTCATAACGACTATAAGTCGTTTCCGGTCTAGTTATGCCTTCGGGTTAACAAAATCTGCCACTCAGGTTGATGTTATTTGATTATCGATTTGGAAAAATGGACTGTAAAGTAGCACATTTCAAGTGGGGAAATTTTTCCACTGTGCACATGTTTTTAAAAAAAATTCTCAAAATACACATGTTATGAAAAAAATTCCCAATCTACGCATGTTTGGGCCTTCACCGCGTCTGACCAAGGCGGTGATTGAATCACCGCGTTAAAGAAGGGCAGTGATGCAATCACCGCGTTAGAGAAAAACGGTGATTGCATCATCGCTGTAGACAAAAACGGTGATAGCTTCACCGCGTTCGACGGCCGCGGTGAAGGCCTGACCTGCGTCGAATCTTTAAAAAAACGTAACTTTGTGCTCGGTTATCCGATCGTAGTGAAATTTTTTTTGATTCCGCATAATTTTTCAAGATCTTGCAAGCCACAAACCGCCGTTGGTCCCGCCTTCGTCCCGAAAAAACGTCGTTTGCTACCCCGAACGAGCCTTTTTTCGATTTCGTCAAACTTTGGACGACCATAACTTTGTGCTCCACAATCCGAAAATCATGAACTTTTTTTTTATTTTGCATAACTTTTTGAGGACTACAATTTTTAGTAGGAGAGAATTTTCAAAAAATGAATTATTTTGGATATACAGGGTTTTGAGAATAAGTTTACCTTTCCTTTTTAGGAATCCAAGTACATTCCGAAATTATGTCTATGATAAAAATTGTAGTCCTCAAAAAGTTATGCAAAATCAAAAAAAAGTTCATGATTTTCGGATTGTGGAGCACAAAGTTATGGTCGTCCAAAGTTTGACGAAATCGAAAAAAGGCTCGTTCGGGGTAGCAAACGACGTTTTTTCGGGACGAAGGCAGGACCAAACCGCCTACGGCGTTTGCGGCTTGCAAGATCTCGAAAAATTATGCGGAATCAAAAAAAATTCATCACGATCGGATAACTGAGCAAAAAGTTACGTTTTTTTAAAGATTTGACGTAGGTCAGGCCTTCACCGTTTTCCTCTAACGCGGTGATGCATTCACCGCCTTCCTCTACAGCGGTGATGCAATCACCATTTTTGTCTAACGCGGTTATGCAATCACCGTTTTCGTCTAACGCGGTGATTCAATCACCGCCTTGGTCAGACGCGGTGAAGGCCCAAACATGCGTAGATTGAGAATTTTTTTCATAACATGTGTATTTTGAGAATTTTTTTTAAAAACATGTGTACAGTGGGATTTTTTCCTTTCAAGTGGGGGGATCTACCAGTAATCCCTACAAGAGCAAGATCCATCTTTGAAATGATGAAACCTCGTAGTGTCCCTCACAATTATCTCCCTCTTTTCGATTTCTGAAATACACTTTGCAGCGCGATGGCAATCCGCACAGATCCTCAAGTTCTTGAACACCCGAATTGGAACTCCTGGCGGCAGCTTCATCAGCCCATATGCAATGGCGAGCTTCTCACTGTGCCTCAGCAACAACTGCTTTTTCTCGGTTTCCCCAACATCATGCAATGCACATTCAAGATCAGGGACGTAACCGGCCAACTTCATCTTCTCCTCTAACTCGTTTAGCTTCTCGTGTATCGAACCCAAATCTGGATGAATTCTATCCCCGGATCTAAACTCATGGACTTTGTTCTTCACATCAATCCAACTGTACCCAGGTGTCTTCACCAAGTTGCTCCGATTCATCAACTGACGGACCCTGGCAACATCTTTCCACTTGTTCATTGCAGCATAGACATTGGCGAGTTGAACGTAGGCAGCTGCACTCCCCGGGTCAAGATCGAGTAGGTTCTTTGCAGCAAATTCGGCAATTTTGGTGTTCTTGTGTATCCTACAGGCACCCAAAAGGGTTCCATATATAGCCGGATGAGGCTTGAATGGCGATTTCTTGATTAAGTCTACAGCTTCATCAAGCTTACCAGCTCGACTAAGAAGATCGACCATACAACTATAGTGATCCGGTTTTGGTTCAACCCCGTAATCCTTCCTCATCGAATTGAAGTAGCCTGTCCCTAGATCGAGTAATCCAGCATGGTTGCAAGCTAGCAATACTGCAACAAAGGTTATCCCGTCTGGACTGATCCCAGCTTTCCTCATCCTATCAAACAAACTCAGAGCTAGTTCGCCTGCTCCGTGCTGCGCATACCCTGAAATCATGGCATTCCACGTGACGAGATCTCTTCTGGGCATTTCTACAAACAGCTTCTTGGCATCTTCCAGAGCTCCACATTTACAGTACATGCTGATCAACGAGGTCCCTGCTGTTGTATCGATATGCAGTGGTGATTTACAAACTAGCTGATGAACTTGCTTACCCAATTGCAGAGCAGATAACTCACTACATCCCAACAAAACACTGCTCAAGGTTGAAGGATTTGGACCAACACCGCCGGCCATCATTTTCTTGAACAGCTTCACACCAGCTTCAGCTCTAGAATTCTCGACATAACCAGAAATCATTGTGTTCCATGTGACCAAGTTCTTCTCCGGCATTTCCCAGAACAACTTCTCTGCAGTTTCAATCCTCCCAAGCTTCATGTGCCCGGTTATCACCGCCGTCCAAGCAACCACGCTCTTAACCGGCGCAGTTTCGAAAAGCTTCACCGCTCTATCCAACTCCCCACACTCAACATACCCAGAAATCATAGCGTTCCAAGTAACAACATTTCTCGACGGCATTGCAGAGAACAACTTCCCCGCTTCCTCCATTCGCTGATTCCGGGCTAGCCCGGTTATCATCGTGTTCCAAGAAGTTGCATCCTTGCGAGGGATTCGATTGAAGAAGCCTAGAGCCGCTTCCATGTCGGAGCTGTTGACGTAGCACGCCAACATGGTGTTGTAGGAGACGGTATCTGGTTGGGGAATTTTCACAAACACCTCCTGGGCATCTCTCAATCTCCCGCGCAACTTCGAGTAGCCGGCCAAGATCGAGTTCCATGTGACCGTTGTTCTGACGGACATGTTGCGGAACACGCCGAGAGCAGCATCCAGGTCACCGGATCGCACGTAGCTGGTGATCATCATGTTCGAGAGGATCACATCGTCACCTTCGTTGGGGGAAGCAGCCGGGGAATAGAATTTGCTCATCGGAGCTGGAACGCCGGCGGATCCTGGCTTTGCCGCGTGGTCGTGTGGGGTTTTGCTGGCGGGGGTGGAGAAGCGAAGCCATGGATGTTCGGTTAGAGCCAAGCCCCTGAGGAACCGATGAGAGGATGGGTTTCGTAGTTGCCCGGCGAAAAATGCTGTTCTCATTTTACTTTATTATTGAACAGTATCACTATGATTTGTAGAAGTAATCCTTTCATACATTCAACAGTTCGTTTCCTGCAAAGAAATGGTCAATTGGCCATAGCTGATAGCCCAAAAGTTCGAAGTTGGTCACTTAAGGTCCACCTCTTAGTTCCCTTTAGATTTGAAACTTCAAAGGCTCAAACCTAATTCTACCCCCTTCAACAACAGAACTAAACCGCGATTACGAGACCGAGATCAAATGATACGTGGTTTCATAATGATGAAATCATATCAGAAGTATTCATTTGATGATAATTAACTTTCTCTCTGGAGATAGTTTTGGTTAAACGGTCAACACAACCCTCTCATCCATCTTTCACTAGGAATGGAAAGCACCATCGGACATTCGGCGATGCTTATCAAAACTCCACTTTGCTAATAATTGGACGAAACACCTGACTCATTAGACCGGAACGATGAGACTCGTAAAACCGAAATAATGAGGCAAACCTATCACAACATACTTTACTTAAGCTATGGACGCTGCAATTCAAACATCATTATTACAGTAATATAATTCAACCTACATCGTTGTTGAATCAAGTTGAATTCACTTGCACTCCAAGTCGCTTAAAAGTTAAAACTGTAACTCATCGAGATAACGGAAAACACACCAAGGTCCATAGCACATACTACAAAGGCCGTCCCGAAGGAAAAGAACCAAGTGGTGAGACACATTGGTGTCTGTACCTAGGTTAAGAACCTAGCCACTCGACCATGGCCCAAACAGAGAAACCTGCTTCTATAGGGCAGACCTAAGCGCAGTTGAGGAGACCCAAATCAATCAAGGATAAGAGATGGAAGTGCTCAACACAACAAAATATCAAGAGAAACACAGAAAGGAAATATAGCTAAGAGACCAAAACGAAAATGGCAAGTAGTACAACTACAAATCCCTAAAATTGACAAAACAAAACTGATTCTAAATGCTAACCATCCAAGTTCCAAAAGACAAAATGACTCAAAGACTCTCCTAAACTTACCTGTTTTAACCAAAAATATAACAAAAGGGGGGACATAATGAAAAAGAAAAGCGACGACAAGAGTATCATGCTTATCCAAAGTTGCAGCAAAGGAATCACTGGCAGAAGATAGACCCAAGACAGGCATATCTAAAATTTACACCCAAATTAAAACTAAAACAAGAGTTGAATTTAAAATATGCGTTCTGTTCTTGAGCGCGCGACTCCTGATGATAACAAACCAATCCCCCTTCGACTACACCGGACTTCTCTTCTTGCAGCAAAACCTCACTTGCCGCCCAGCGACGGGAACTGCCCTGGGTCCTCAATGGATGGGGCTGACACGTCGCGACTGTTGTAGCCTCCTCCATATCCTCCGCCGGTTCTACCACCACGATCACCACGCCCACGTCCCCTGCCACGACCACCACCTCTGTAGGGGTTATCGCCTTCAGCTGGCTTCAGGAACTCGTTTATGCTCACAGACTGCGTTTCATAAAGACCAATCATCAGCCAGTGCCCATCAAGGTTAACAAAGAGAGAGCTAGGGGGGACAGGCCCGTGTGATACAAGATTACACAAAACGAACCTTCTTAACCCTCTCTTCCCTTTCAGCAGCAGTTTCTTTCTTCTTGTCTTTCTCAGAACCCTAACGAACCCAAAAATTTCTCGAGTCATTACTTAAATTCTTGATCATATTCATAAAATTTTGTGGATGGGTTTAGTTCTCTCACCAGCTTGGCAAAGATTTCAACATTTTCCTTCTTGCAGGACAGCTGTTGCATGGACTCGAATTCTTTAGCATCAACCTTCCTTTCCTCGGTCTTCAGAGCAAGCAAAGCCTTTCTCTTCTCCTCAAGAACCTTCTCATACTCCTCCAGAGTCATCTCCTGCTTTGAAGGAAAACCATAGAACAGAGATGGAAATTAAAACAAGCCAAGTGTACTGACACTAGGTCACTACTGAACACACAAACAACAAAGATATGTTAGATTCCCACCAAAGTTAACCTTTTCTAGATGTGTGTTGTACTAATGTAGAGATGCAAGCTAATGTAACAAACTTCACGCAATCGACAACTCACAAGGAGACCATAAACCATAAAGCAGATGAGTGAAACAGTTCATAACAACCACTGGACTGCATAAGGACATGAACTCCATCGCAACTTGAAAACAAGTGTAAAGTTGAAATAGTTTGTAGATACAGAGTATAAGATGAGAAATCAATCGACCTTATCCTCCTCAGGCTCTTTCTCCTCGGTTTCATTTGCAGGACTGTCCTTGTTGGCATCAGCAGCCTCTTCCTCTGCAGGTTTCTTCTCAGCAGTGGCATTCGCCTCATTCTCAACCACAGGTTCCTCAGTCCCACTATACCAAATAAACCAAAACACAATCAAACATCACAAGCGAATCGAACATCATACCAATCTTGTGACATTTGTAGAACAATAACTTACGGTGCAATATCATCTGAAGCAGTCCCCCAGTTTCGACGACCGGACCCTTCACGCTTCATCTCGCTCCTGATGCATACAAATTGGCAAACAATCTTAGTTACGCAATCAAACACTAAACTGACAAGCTAATTACTAAACCATCAAGGAAATACTAACCCACGGCCAGTTCCACTGCGACGCTCATAAGGCCTTCTGGGGCGCTCACCCTCACCAGCTTCCCCATTGCTGTAGCCACCTCGGCGGCCTCCACGGAAAGCACCGCTACCACCAGGACGAGGACCACCATAGTTACGCCTCTCAGATGTCCTCCCTGACTCGCCATCTTCAGATGGCTTGCTGTTCCCAAAACCAGCATCGTAGTTGTTAGGCTCCCGGTTGAAACCACCGCCACCGCTTCGACCTCCACGGCCAGAGCGCGTTCCAGCACCACGACTTCCTCCTCCTCGCCCACCTTCATTTCTTGATTCCCTCACTACTCAACATAACAAACCAGCAAGTAAACAACCAAGCTAAAAACAACCATAGCACTAAACAATCGAACCCTTAACCACACACTCCAACTGGGCACGGAATAACTAACATGGAGAATAGACCTAGGATATCAATCTCCATACAAACGAAAATCACAACGCACAGCTCAAAGAAGCTAAATAGTGAACGAATCAATCACAGCAATAGTCTCCATCCATCTACGGGTCCAAACCAAAATCTGAATACAAACAGCTCAATAAACCGGGGCGAAATAGAGAAATACAGTGATTCGGAGCTCCTCACCAGCTTGAGCAGGGGCAAGCGGCTTATTAACGAGCTTGCCTTGCGGAGCTTGAGCAGCAGCAGGAGTGGCAGCAACCTTAGGCTTCTCCTTCTCGGCCTTAGCGATGAGCAACGAAGGATCGTCGTTATCGTCGTCTCCGAGGAGATCGAAGGGGTTCATGGTCGCCATTTCTGTTCTTCCGATTACTTCGCGAAACCCTCCCTTCACCAATCAAATTAAAGAGCCTCTGGAACAGTATAGACCGCTCTATTGATTGCTGGACGCCATAGCCGAATGAAGAGAGTGTTCGGTGGGAGAGAAAATGGGGAGAAACGAGAGAGAAAATTATTGTGAGAGAGTTAATATGTGGAAAACCCTAGCCACTGCGGCTGAAGAGAAAATGAGACAAGTGAAGAGAGTGAGCTTTGGCATCCTAATCTTAAAAACCCTAGTTGGAAGAGGTGGGAGTGTTTCGCTGCGGGAGGGTGCAGTTTATTGCTCGTGGAACCCGCTGTGAGACATTAAGATCTGTTCGTTGATTGGGTGATGCCTCATTAACAAGTAGGGATGTCCGTGGATATCCGCCCGAATCCGACCTAATCGGATAGGGTAAAACCCGAACTCGAAGGACTTTTAGTGGGTATGGGTAAAACTCGAACCCGAATATTGCGGGTAATGGGTGGGCATGGTTTTCTCACTATCCAACCCGAACCCGCCCGATTATATACATGCATATGTATTTTGTTTAGAAATAATCAATATTTTTCTCTAACATACTTTATATTTAGCATATAAATATCATTTTGTTTATGAAATTATGTTGTTTTAATTAATTTTCTTCATTCTAGTGAATTATTGTCGTACTTTTCGTCTTACGTGACGTGAGAATACGTGTAAATATTAACATATTGGTTGGAGTTATAAATAAAAACTATTATCCTTGGATAATTGTGGATACCCGAAACCCGAACAGGTATGGGGCATGGTTTGGATTTTCTACCCGTTTCTTATGTGGGTAAGGGCATGGGTAACGCCCGAACTACTTTGGGTAGGGTAACGGATAGGCACTATCCGTCCCCGACCCGACCCATTGCCATCCCTATTAACAAGATTCTTTACGGTATTTTTGTTTATTAGAGTGACTACTAGCCCCGGATCGCGGTTATTCGAATAGGGGAAAGTAATTTTGGGTACTTCAGTTAAATGAATGGGAAAGTAATTTCCTCTTTGGGTCGTTCCAAATTCCAATAGGTAAAATTCTCTTCCCGGTGATCATCGGTGATCGTATCTATTACCGATATAAGCAAAATTCTTTGTCGTGTAACTTTCGAACCTCACAAAAGGCGTAACGATTTGGGCACTGTCTCGGAAAGAGGCTCAGTGAAATAAATATGTTTGTGAGTATGCGGATTACCTGCACATAGACTGAAAGACCCTATGAAACTTCATTGTTCCTTGGGATTGACTTTTGGCGTTCGATGCGTTATAGAGAGGAGTTATGTCATTTGAATGAGGAATTTTGATGGATCAATTTGATCCAGTTATTTTGTTTTTAGACAATTTGACCAAATTGACACGTTTGGCAACATAAAATTTTGCTTCCTCCGACGACGCAAACACAACAATCTTCTTCCTCCACGCCCATCAGTCGTCCTTGTCGCCCTCGGCGTCGTCACGCCATTGCAACACCACCAACAACCACTTCCCGTCCCAATCCCACTCCTCCACGTCGCATGGTTACTAGCCTCCAAACCGGCCGTCTCAAAACAAAATCCTTTATCACCGCCTCTCTTCCCCCATTACCCACCTCCCCTAGCATAGCTATGAAAAATCCATCACGGAGGTCGACCGTGCTTGCGGATTTCAACGCTTTATTTAAGAACTACACCTGGACACTTGTCCCTCGCTCTCCTCACCACAACATCATCACTTGCAAATGGCTATTCTGCATCAAGACAAACCCTAGCGGCTTTATAGACTAATATGAAGCTCGTCTCGTCGCTCAGGGGTTCCAATAGAGACATGGACTTAACTTGGGAGACATGTTCAGTCATTTGATTAAACCCGCAACCCTTCGACGATACTTTCCTTTGCAGTTACCTGGTAGGTCAGGTAGTTAGACATTGTCAATGCCTTCCTCCATGGCTCGCTCACTAAGGATGTATTTATGAAACAACCTCCTGGCTTCATTGATCCTGATCGACCCAACCATGTGCCACCTTAAGCTCTCCCTCTATGACCTCATACAGGCTCCTCGCGCTTAGTTCAACTGCCTCCACCAAGCTCTCGATGAATTTGGCTATTGTGGCTTCAAGACGTACATTTTCTTATTCATCTAGTGTCGTGACACTATTCATCTCTATGTATTGGTCTGTGTGGATGACATCATACTAATGCGCAATTATCAAAGTTGCTTCATGCTACTCTCACATTTCTGCAACATAAATTTGCAGTATGTGACCTCGCCATCCTCTCATATTTCATCGGAATTGAAGCTCACCAACAAGCTAATGGACTCCACCTCTCACAAAAGAAATATATCACTCAACTTCTCGCACAAGCAAAGATGATGGATCATGCCCATCTGCACTCCCGCTACAGTCACCACCAAAGATCTTGACTGCACTCCACTCCGTGATGGCTCCTTGTATCAGTAAAATCATCGGGTCTCTATAGTATCTTCAGTTCACTCGTCTCGATCTATCACACGCTATCAATTATTGTGCCCCACACTTGCATGCTCCTCATCAACATCATTGTACAACGTTAACCGAATCTTACATTATTTGCGGGATACACCAGACCATGGCCTCCACTTCAGCACTCACACAGATACACAAATCTCCGACTATTCTGATGCAAAATGGGACAAGAATGTTACTGATCGTCGTTCCACAACAGGGTAAGCTGTCCACTTGGGTTCTCATCTCCTGGTCTTCCTACAAACAAAAGATTGTGGTTCGTTCATCCACAAAAGATTGCCACCACTATCCAATATTTTGCTAATTTGTTAACTTGTAACGTTGTATATATCTGCCATTTGAAGTGAATATAAAGTGTGCGAAAACATTGAAATTATAGATGATTCATCCCATCCCCGCTCTACAAGTTTTAATATCCCATCATTTGTGTTCATTTTGTAGATTCCAGTTGATGACTTGCTCCATCCTTGCACCTAGTCGCTCTTGGGAGTTAGAGATTATTTGTTTGGCTATGGAAATTTGAAAACGGGAAATTTGTCATAATTCCCACATTATGGAAAACCTGAGAAATATCAAGTGGAAATTGGTGGAAATTCCATGTTTGGAATGGGTGCAAGAATGTGAAAATCATTGGTGTGAGATTAAGTTAAAGTACCATTTAGCCCTTCATTGCACCTAGTCGCTCTTGGGAGTTAGAGATTATTTGTTTGGCTATGGAAATTTGAAAACGGGAAATTTGTCATAATTCCCACATTATGGAAAACCTGAGAAATATCAAGTGGAAATTGGTTGAAATTCCATGTTTGGAATGGGTGCAAGAATGTGAAAATCATTGGTGTGAGATTAAGTTAAAGTACCATTTAGCCCTTTCTTATGTAAACTCATAATCAACCTCACATATAAACGTTTGCTTCTAACGAAGACACAATGCTTCAATGGAAATCAATCCCCCACTTCTCGTTCTCAATCCTCAAACACAATAAATCAATTTGCCCAAGTTTTTATTGAATTAGAAAACAGTTGGGAGTACAAGTTTGCTTATGTTTCAACAACCAAAAAACACAACAAAACACCACCATGCATCGACACAACAGAAGAAACACAACAACAACATTGTAGCGGCAAGCCAGCAATAACACAATAGCACAACAAGAATATAGCAGTTGGCTTTCCATTCAATAGGCGACTTTCTACTCAAGCTTAATAGAACCCTCTCGAATGACCAATCTATTTTCTAGAATTATTTTTCCTTCTTCATGGAGTCATCTCAATTCCATCCAGAATAATTCCAACATTAGACCTCGTCCATGCAATTGTCTACACATTTGTGGATTGTACTAGAACTCCATTGTTTGCTTGGTCGAATTTGGTCAAGGCAATCTATTGTGACAATTGTTTGATTGAACTAGGGTTTTTTAAATAGCGACATGAGATAAATAGTGGAATGAAGAAGATGAAAGATTGGGAGGAAGAAGATGGGTACGAAAGGGAGAAAGCAGAGGGAGGATCGAGAAGAGAAGGAGGAAGAAGATGACTCAGGGTAGGGGAGAGACGCATAAATCATAAGTAAGAGGGTGGGTTAAATTTGGGATGAAAATAGTAGAAATGTGAGAATGTCAATTGTGGGGAGGTGGGTGTTGTATTTCCCATTACTGCGATCGAGGTTCTGTTATCCCATTTCCATGGTCCAATTCCCACATGTTTTGGGCTCAGCCAAACATGAGATTTTAACCAAATTACAACATTATGTAGAAATTGGGGTCAATTCTCACACCCAATTTTCCAAACAACCCCAGAAGGTTCTATGCATCTTGGCAATCCGATAGCCATGCAACAGGCTTTGGAATGATATAACTTTCTTCTATGCTTTAGTTATTAAACAAATGATTGCATCTTCTCTTCCAAATATGTCTTAGAATAACACAAAGTCTTTGGAGATTTTCATCTAATTATGTCTGAAAGACGGCGAAGAAACCGTCCCAACCTAACTACATTCACCCTATAGAATCACAACCTTGTTGATTCGAAGAGGTTGAGATGGACGAATTTTTGGTGCATCTGGTTTAGGTGCTGGACGAGGTTGAGATGATGTGGAGGTTAACAAAATTTCAGAGTTGGAATTCGACTGGGAACAAGTACTACGGGATTTAACCCCGCTCGCTGGAAGCATATTGGTGTTGCCATGGATATTGGAATGGAACCAAACATACAGAGCATTACGCTCGAATAAAAGTATTTATTTTTCCTGTCTCTACACAAATACACAAATGCCTGGTCTAGTTCACGTCCAAGGTGGATCACAGGTATGGGTATTTGCTAGGGGTATTAATGTAACAATCTCACATCAAATCATTGTAATTGGGTTTCTTATATTTTGCCTTGCTTGTCAATTTATACGGCATTGAGTTGATCATGGATCTCGTACATAATTTCTTCAGAGTTATATCTATTTTGTTTTAAGTTGGAAATCACATTTTTCTCATAAAAATATATAAAATATGTTGAGGATATTAATTACTTAGTCAAAAAGTAATTAATTCCTTGTCCTACAAGTCCCTAGTTTCCTTGTTCAAGTAAAAGAAGGAAACTTGGTTGTCATTAGGGTTTTAACCCTAAGTCTATATCTATAAAAGCTTAGCTACGGTCATGTCGTAAGCAAGCCGTCAAGATGTAGTCGTATAATAAAACATCAGTCGTGAGCTCGTTCCGAGCTCACCGTGGATTAGTCTCGATCAATCAATCGATCG